CTTAAATAGCATAGAAACGTATATATTAAATTAAATTGCTGTAGAATTGTTTTCCTTTTCTCTGACATGCAGCAATCAGGCTGTGAGCTCAGTTTAAACCTTATTACTGAAAGTATTTTAAAAGTCATTTTTAGGGAAACAATAAGGACCAAATAACTCTACTTTCATTGAAGAAACTTGAATGCTTGTTTCAGCTGCTGAAACAGAGCATGAAATCATCTCTGTGTGATATTGTCCATTCATTCTGGTTTGTCTTGTTGATCATGAGTTGAGGTGGTAATGTTTTCTCAACCTTTTATAGCACTAGGTTCTGCTGTAACCCTAGGCCAGCAATAATTGCTCTACAACAAAAGCAGAGAAGTTCTTTAAACTCAGCATTTGGTTCTGTGAAATTCAGATCTTGTTTCCCACAGACAGCTGCAAGATCTTCACAATAATTTTGCTTCTTTAGGAAACTAACTTGTTTCAGAAAAGATTTTCCATTTCATTTTTGGTGTAATGCTCTGGGTCACATCCTTACAGCATCCCAATCTACAAAACAAGTGAGTTTCTAAGAACATATTACTCGTATCTTAAGATACTTTCATACTGAACTACACACAAAATATTGCATGTAGAATTATTCTGAATATTATACTGTTCTATATCTGTCATTGGTTGACCCTGGCCAGCAGCTAAACACCACATAGTTGCATGCTCACTGCCTGCTCCCAGCGAGACTGGGCAGAGAATAGGAAGAGCAAAAGTGAGGAAATTCATATTATTAAGTGAAAGGAAAGAGGGGAAAAAAATACAAGGGAAGTAGGCCAATGTCCAGCCAGTCACTGAGTCCCACCCCCCCTCAGTTTTTATTGTTGAGCAAGATGCTGTATGAAATGTCCCTTTGGTCAGTTCAGGTCATCTGTCCCAGGTTTGTCCCCTCTGTACTTCTTGTGCACCCCAGCCTACTAGCTGAGGGGACAGGGTGGGAAACAGAAAAGGCCTTGGTGCCACACAAACTCTGCTCAGCCATAGTTGGTTAGTTAATAGTTCAGTTACCAGCACTGGTTTAGTCACAAGCCTAAAACACTGCACCATAGGAGTTGCTAGAATACAATTAGCTCCATCCCAGCCAGACCCGCCACAACCTTATTACTATTGCACAAGCACAGTAAAGCTTGACATTTTCCATAACTAATGTGAGCCATGGCTTTTGGCATGACATCTGCAACATTGCAAGACTGAAATCTAGCTGCACATAGCTAGACTGCTCGCATCAAACGTTGGTTTGTCTTGGGGTCATTAAGTTTTGGTTTTTCTTGGAGTCATTAAGTTTTATTATACTACAAACAATAACAGTAAAGTGTGTAAATTAACATGGTAATTATGAGAAGAATTTTAGGCATTGGCTTGATCATAATGCATTACTTGGTGCCAATGATCAGTTTGTGTCAATACCAGGATCAACTAGTGTCACAGCGTTTGAGGAAGTAAAGACCTTATTAATAGTGTATTGTCAGGGTCTGCCTATCACCACACCTTTTTTGAGTGTTTAATTAAATATGATCTTTTAAATAAAAGAAGACCTTTGTCTTTATACATCTCAAACTGGCAAAAGATATAGTTCTAAAAAGTGATTGTGTGCTGAGACCAAAACTGAAAATTATTACCTAAAGCAAATATGTTGGGTTATGAATTAATTTGCATTTTTGCAAGAGCTGAGGACAAAAATGAATAAATTATGCATTAATATGTTGGGTTGTGGAAAAAAAAAGTTAAAAGGCTTATAACAGAGTTATTTAGCACTTATGCAATCTCTGTAGATGTAATATATCCTATATGACCATGTGTAGTTGGTAGATGATGCAGCGATTGTTACTAATTAAAAAAAGCTGGGTACTTTCAGCTCCTATTATTAGAATTTTAAGCTTTTTTTTTTTTCTTCTGGTCAGAGCAGTAGCAATTGCACTGGCCTGACAGGATGTGTTGTAGATTTGCTTCAGGAATTAATGAGGGATTCCTATTTTAGTTGGCTGGTAGCAGCTAAGTGTGTCCCACAGGAATAATTCTGAGGGTAACATCAAAGTTAGTAAAGTGGCTTTACTAACAGAATATCCCCTAGATTTGACACCAAAGAAAAACAAAAGATCAAATCCTAGTATTACTAGTACTAATAAAGGCATTGTTATCATACATCAATATCATACTGAAGTCATATTCTGCATTGATTTCATTGCAGGCAGTTTGTATCCCTAAGTATATGTATATAAGTTTAAAAACAAGTGATTCTGAAATACATAGTGGAAAGTGGTTTAGTGTAAAATCCTACACTTAAGTGCAGAATGTATTGGATCAATTTCTTAATCAAAGAACGATATAATCCTGGCTTCAGTATACTCACCAGCAAAACCTTTGCTGATTAACTCTTAGGATTATGTTATTTTCCGTGTGGAAATGGTTCTGTCTAACTTAGTTAAAGACCTTGCAGCTTTGACTTTAAATATATCTGTAGAGAAGGATGAGCTGATATGTAAATTAAATCATTAATAAGTAAAAAATGTAGCACATAAATGCATTCCTATATGACACATGATGACATAACAACAGGAAAAAACAACTTAAAATTGTGAGGAGGCTATAATTTTTAAATCACTGATCCCGTGAAAAAGGTATCTAAAAAAATTATTACAACTTAATAATGTGAAGAAGACCGCTTCAAAAATAGCTGGTCTGCAAGTCCAATTTGAAAGTTCATATACATATGGTGTTTATTTTACGTATGCTTGAGTGTATTCAAACTCGTCAGGGAAAAAATGAATTGAGGTGCAAGTTCTTTATATGTGTGATACATGTGATCTACTATGATTATATATAGTGTGTAGGCTTGCATATCAAAATCTGCTAGTTGTTTTCTCCTTCCTTGATTTTTATTAAACTTCCTTTTAATTTTGTTTGGGTTTTTTTCATGGTTTGTTTGTTTGTTTGTTTGTTTTTTGTGGGTTTTTTGTGTTTTTTTTTTTATTGCTGCTATAGATTCTTCAGGGTCTTTCTGGTAACTTCTTTTCTGGAACTCTGAACTAAAAGACAAGCCTAAAATACTGCAGTGGAGTTGCAGTTTCTAGGTTCCACTGTTGCTATTGCTATCAGCCTGCTTACTTCTCATGTATTTTTTTTTTTGGAGTTTGGATGCACCAACAAAATTTATCTAATAATATAGTAAGATGATTTTCTGGCAATGTTTGTATGTTGTCCAAGACATTCAAGTGAACATTTAACTTTGTTTATTATAGTGCTTTTTGTTTGTCTCTGATGAGCTATTTATCATTATTTGTTGTCTTTCTATACAGCTTTGCAGTTAATTTCCTTGATATTTTACTCCTTTAGTTTACGTTTCCTCTTTGTGCCAGAATACAAATGTGCATCTTTTAGCCTAATCACCTATGGCTGGGTTAGATCTCCTTACTTTTGAACTTTGGGAAGCTTGTGCAATTTGATAGAAAAAGTACAGTTTAACTTATTTTTACATTGTCAAACATGTCGTATAGGTGTTGCAGGGGCTGATTTACTATCCGAATGTTTCAGATGCTTCTAAAAGCATGGTTTATTTTCTTTTTCATAGGTGTGATTTTCTGCTGGGGCTCTCTCCTCAGTCTGTTTCCTTCTGCGAGCTTGGTCCAAGTTGCCCTAGCTCCCTGCCTATAACATTTCAAGTTTCTTCATTCCTCTCAGCTCTGTACTTGCAGACAGGTCTATGTGCAGGATACTTTGTTGAAAATACTGTGGGTGGAGGTAGCCACGCTTGAATCACAAACTGGGACAAATTTCGCTGTACCTTCTCTCCCCAGATTTGTGGTAGGATAATTTTCATTTTAATAATTACATTTTAGCTGAATACCAAAAAATGGTACGCTGGGATGTGGCAGAAAAATAACCAAATCTGGAACTGGATGAATCTGTTTTCTTTGAAATTTATCAGGAAATGCTTTTTAATGACTGCATTTTGAATACACAAGGGGCTGTAGAGTACTTTACTCCAAACACCAATAAACAGGCTTCATCATTCTGCATTCCGTTTCTATGAGATGAAGGCATTCTGCAAAAAAGAACTTCCAGGACTTAATCAGCTACTGCTGAGAGATATTTCAATAAGATAAGCCACACAAATGGCGATCGAAATACAACCTCATTCTCTCATTTTAAACTCAGCCAAGGTGTCTGTGTTGACAATCACAGTTCTGCTTGAGTCATGGACGTTGAATATGCTAGGAGGATCTTCTGACATTGACTTACGGCTCTTTTCTCTCAGCCTCTCTATCTGCCAAGAGGACCTTTGCAAAGAGACTGCCTGGCCTGGCTAGGCTTTCTGTGTGGGTCCACTGCATAGACAATATTCCATGAGAATACAACCCTTCCTATGCAAGCCTTGAATAACAATACAGTGGACTTGCTCCAAGGATATGCTGCTTATCAACAGTAAATAGCCACAACTGCCATGATCTAAGTTCTAGAAACTGTATCAGGAAGAACTGATAGCTAGGCCAGTTTTTAATTGCCCTGTCTGGGTGGGAACTGAAATTTCAGGTTTTGAGTAAAGAGGTACTGGTGTTCCTTCATGCAATGAAGTATGAGTAAGCTTTAAAAAGATCTCTGTTTGACCACAGTAAAGTCTCACACTTCTGTTGTTATTATAAGAACATTTCTGGTAGATGGGTCAAGAAAGGATTTTTGATTGATTCCGCGGAAGCAGCTTTGCCTTACTACTGATGGCATGATGAATATAGGTTTTTTGCTAAAGAAATAAAACCAAATTTACCTATATTTCAGAACATTTTCTGGTTTAATGTATTCACATTTTGCATTCTGAGTACCATGTTCTTTAATATTACAGCATGTATCCTATTAAACCAATAACGCAGAATTAAGGTAACTCCCATCTAAAGGAGCTTAGTCTACTATTTTTTCCATAATGTTTGCACTTCAAGAAAAATTGCAACAGAGTATTTTTTGCTTGCATCTTCTAGGCTCTAACCAGAGAGCTACAGCACAGCGTACAAGAGCTGAGAACAAAAATCAAACAGGCAAAAAAAATGGGAGAAGCGAGAGTGTGCAAAAAGGGTCTTTCCCAGGAGTCTGTTCAGTTGGCAGCATCTATTCTTAATGTTTCAACAACTGATCTTGAGGAGATATTAGAAGTAGGAGATGATGAGGTAAGTTATCTTAAGGACTTTTCAGTAAAAAGGGGGCAGATAAGATGCTGCTGCATGTTTCCATTCTTGAGGAAAAGGATTTCCAGGCATAGACTGGAATTTCATTGTGCAGCATTCAGCATGGGGGAAAAAAAAAAAAAACCAAACCAAGCCCCAAAACAATTGGACCTAAATAAAAAAAAACAAACCCCAAAACAATTGGATCTAAATAAAGAGGTCAGGTTAGAGACTCATAAAGTGGCAAGACTTTTGGCATGCATAATAAAATATAAATATACTGTTTTGAGCATGTAGATATAGAGAGACGTTATTTGAAAGTCCTTAGTAGTTTCCTTTTTCTTGAGACATTTGACAGGGTTATACATTTTAAATAGACTTCTGCATTAATGAAAACAAAATTAGAATGTGTCTTGTGCCAGACTGATTCCACTGATGCTTGCTTTCTTGAGTTGTTATACCATTAAAGGTATTTCTAGTAGAGAAATGGTTTCATGGGGAATCCATTGCCTTTTTTGGTGATTCTATCATACACTTCACTATGAAATATTTGATAGTGTTTTCATCAAATCACCAAATCCCTTCTATTAAACAGATAGAGGAATAGGATTTCTTATATAGATTTATTTAGGCCTGATCAAATAATACATGAAAAAGTCTGGACACTTACTTTAGTAAAAGTGTATAGAAGCTAACCATTATTGGGCTGTAACAGTACTCTAGTAGTGACTCAGGTTTAGCCTTATTGGAGCTTTATATTAAAAATGTCACAAAAGAGAGTTTTCGTGTTGGTTAAATAAAGGTTCAGTGCATATGCATGTACTGATATGGATTACACTCATGAATATAAATAAAATGGACCAATTCTCGTCCTTTTTTTACATCTATAACATTTATACACCCCTGTAACATGATTCATTTTGATGGAATTGTTCCATGCATACTTCGTTCTCAAAGTAATTTCTACATCCTGTACCTTTTGTTGTAGTCACTATTGTGAATGTATGTGTAGAACACACAAACATAATTGCCTATAAATAGAGAACAGATTTTAACTAAAGGTGATGAATTTTCACTATACAAATTTTAGATACCTATTCCACTAAGGAACCTTTACATTGAACTCATAAAATTTACACATAGATCACACATGCACCTGATGCTCATGTGAAAAGAGCATGTCACGCATGTTTCTAGGGACATGTACAGGCAAGGATAGGTTTATAAATTTAACAGAGCCCTCATACTTGGTGGATATGCTTCAGATAACTAGTTTTGAAAGCATAGTTTCCATTTCCACATACTGGTCATTCAATGTATATCCAGTTACACATTTCTTTTATTTTTCACTGTTTTTTTCTCATGTGGTATCAAAATGTTGTGTCTGTGTTATCTTTTTCTATTTTTAGGAAACAGCAAAAACAAAAATGGAATTTGAAAACGATAAAGAATGGCTGGAGTATATACATAACCTTCTTGAGGCACAGGTGCTAATTTATATCTTAATGAATTATATCATTCTGCACTGAGTAGATAAGTGGTTTTAGGTTGTAATTAATCTGTTGCATTTGTAATTATGTTACCATTGATGGTCCCAAACTATACAGTGATGAGACAATGTAAAACCCTTGGTTTGTAGCATTTCATTTTTATTTCTCTTAAAATAAATGTCACTGGATAAAACTGAAGAGATGTTAACCAAGGATTTGCAATAGCTGTCTTAACAGCTGAAACCAGTGAAACAGTGCTGGAGAAGACCAGCACACATCTTGGCAAATGTGTTAATTGAATTATTGAAACAGTGTATAACGCTTGCTAGAGTGAAAAGGATCCATTCTCATACCTCTTAGGAAAAAGAGATTTTTTTTATTATGTGCCTTTAAAGTTAGCAGTTGATATGGACACCTGAGGAGTTTGTGGGTTTCAGTGACCTTTTACTGTGGACTTGTTTCCAGTCAATTCATGTTTTCCTCATAGCCAGACAGCTGTTTATTATCGTGTCTTCTCGCATTCTCTACCATATTTTCTACTGAGACCTCGAGCAGCTTGTTAGTGGGAAGTAAATATTGATTTGGCATCCTGTCAATGCAGAAAGAATGAAAAAATTTCCACCAGAGGCCCCTCAAACATTTTCCTATCGACATTTTCTGGGCAGAGACGAAAGCTGCATAGAGGATGACAAGGCTGAGACTAGCAGAAATCCCTGAGGGGTCCATTGAGACTGCTGCTGTGACCTGTGTGATACTTTTTCTTCTCTTTCAAGTCTTTTTTTTAATACACAGAGAGTCTGCTGGGATGCTCCCCTCTTGTAAGTGATCAAGGGCAGTTTATTGGCAGGTGAGAGCCCTGCTTTCCTAGCCATAGTCAGCTTTTGTTTGGGCATCACTGACAACACACACTGACTCTTGAAAATTTTCCATTATATTTTAGTTGTCTCCTTTATTAAGATGATTGGTATCTGATGTCTGAAAAGAAATAAAATTTGATTTACAAATCCAGTGTTCCTAATGCATATTCACTAGCATGGGTCCATTAGCAATGTAGTACATTTCAGTTAGAATTTGAATGATTGAAAATATTTTGAAAGCCATTTCAAGGGAACACTCAGATCCAGATTTATCTATTTTGTCGTTCATTGCTTCCATGTTTACATTGTGTCCTATGACCAGATTTTTAAAAAATCCTAGTTTTTTCTTCTTTCATTTACCATTAAGATTCCTTAATTGCTGCAGTGGAGGAGATGGAACTATCAGTTTGCTTTTATTGGCTTTGTCAAAAATACTGGCATTTTAATTTAATCTGGTAATGTTACATGGAACTCAGCAGTAAAAGCACAAGTATTTCTATTCACTAAATCGCCTTAATTTCAAGGCTTTTTTAAAAAATCTATAGATTTCAAGATTCTGTCCATTCTGTGGACTCCAAAATAGCAATCAGATTCATGGAATACCAACAAAAATTCTTATTCTATTTTTTGTTATCATTCTTTGGTAAATTGTTAAAAAATCCTAAGCAGAATTTTGTTACTTCTCTTTGATATAGACAGACAGGAAAATGGAAGGCACAGAGAAAGTGGGGGTTGTAATGTATGTAACCATGTATGTAACCAACTATATTAGGATTATAAATATTAGCTAAGGATTGAGGAGCTTTTTGCTCTTAGGAGTATAAGTTTATGTACAAGGTAATAGTGGCTCTCAGTGATTTTTGCTCCATCATGTGGGGTTCCTCAGAAGGAGCTCTGAGGCTACAAGTAATTCTTCGGAAGCTGACCATCTTTAGAATTGCAAGGAGATTAGTGCTTTTGGGGAGCAGTAAGCTCTGCTTTTCATTTCCATCCACACTAAGTCACATGGATGGAAATTGCTAAGATTTCTTGGCCTCTATTTGCGAGAAGCTCACAGAACTCTGTAGCCTTTAAAATGCTTAATTCCTATCTTACAGGGGTTGATTGTGATTTCCTTTAGTAGACGATCTATTAATGATCAGAAAACTAAAGTTTGTGGTGAAATGAAAGCTTTCCATCAGGACTTTGATTGTAACAGATGGCTCACACAGTGTTACAGGTTGGCAAACTGTGTACCTATTTGCATCTTGAACAAAGATGCAGTCTTGCCCTTTTCTGTTATTCTGAGAAAATGTTCAGTGGAAAATTGCATCAGATCACTTAATATTGCAGTTTGATATAGTGTCTTTTTGTGCCATTGAGCTGGGACTTTCGAACATAATTGCCCAGCAGTATTGATTTAATTGCCTAGGTTTATTTGTGGACTCCTAATTATTGACTGGAGGTAAATTTAATGGAGAAACCTTTATGAACACTGAGAAACTGCTGCTGTTGCTGTTATACATAATGAACTGCATCATATCCCTTTAGATCATTCTTCAAGCTAATTTTATTCTGCTGTGACAGTATGATAACGTTTAAAATGTCATAGACATTTTATTTTCATTACTGACATAAGCCATTTTACTGCTACATTAGAATTTTGGGGGGGACTGAGGGAAGCACTAGTTGCTTTTTACTGTCATTTTATAGATTACCCTAAAGTGTAATGCTAAAGGGTAGCACACCTCATCCACACTTTTTTTCCCCCATACTCTTATGACCTGAAAAAATCTAATTTCTGTCAGCTTTACAAGTAGGTTAAATTTCAGTGATAAATACTTTTTGCATTCCTGAGTGGTCACAGACACTAGTCAGCCAGAGTATGTGTCCTTATTTCATCACTACTGTAGAAACACTTGGAGAAACTACAACACTGCTAAGAAGATCGTAATGTGGTAGAGACATATCTGCATCAGCATGTTATTTAAATAAGAATCATAAAATCAAGAATTAATGTTCTGAATTCTACAGAGCTGCTAAAAATCACTTAGGATCTAAACCGATATCTTTAATTGCTAGCAAGTGTTTCTCAAGTTCAGTTTTTGTATTTGTACATTAGCACCCAATAACTAGAGTGTTCTCACTGAAGTATAGAAATGAAACATCTTAGTAACTGACAATAGGATAAATGGTGAGAGGTTCTCTTGCTTATGCAGAACCTGTATGTGGAAAGGCTTCACAGGAGCGCAAGCAGAGACCTGCAGATGGGTATCAGTCATGTGCAGAGACATCAGACTGATTATGTGTTAGTGATTGAGCATGGAAGAGGGAAGCTGGGAGACATAACCAATCCATTATAGAATCATAGAATAGTTAGGGTTGGAAAGGACCTGAAGATCATCCAGTTCCAACCCCCCTGCCATGGGCAGGGACACCTCACACTAAACCACTCCACCCAAGGCTCTGTCCAACCTGGCCTTCAACACCGCCAGGGATGGAGCATTCACAACCTCCCTGGGCAACCCATTCCAGTGCCTCACCACCCTCACAGGAAAGAATTTCCTCCTTATATCCAATCTAAACTTCCCCTGTTTAAGTTTTAACCCATTACCCCTTGTCCTGTCACTACAGTCCCTAATGAAGAGTCCCCCTCCAGCATCCCTATAGGCCCCCTTCAGATACTGGAAGGCTGCTATGAGGTCTCCAAGCAGCCTTCTCTTCTCCAGGCTGAACAGCCCCAACTTTCTCAGCCTATCTTCATACGGGAGGTGCTCCAGTCCCCTGATCATCCTCGTGGCCCTTCCCTGGACTTGTTCTAGCAGTTCCATGTCCTTTTTATGTTGAGGACACCAGAAATGTACACAATACTCCAGGTGAGGTCTCACGAGAGCAGAGTAGAGGAGCAGGATCACCTCCTTCGACCTGCTGGTCACGCTCCTTTTGATGCAGCCCAGGATAAGGTTGACTTTCTGGGCTGCGAGCGCACACTGAAGCCGGCCCATGTTCATTTTCTCATCAACCAACACCCCCAAGTCCTTCTCCGCAGGGCTGCTCTAAATCTCTTCTCTGCCCAACCTGTAGCTGTGCCTGGGATTGCTCCCACCCAGGTGTAGGACCTTGCACTTGGCATGGTTAAACTTCATGAGGTTGGCATCAACCCACCCCACAAGTGTGTCAGGGTCCCTCTGGATGGCATTCCTTCCCTCCAGTGTATCAACCAAACCACACAGCTTGGTGTCATCGGCAAACTTGCTGAGGGTGCACTCAATCCCACTGTCCATGTCAGCGACAAAGATGTTGAACAAGACCGGTCCCAACACCGATCCCTGAGGAACACCACTCGTTACTGGTCTCCAGCTGGACATTGAGCCATTGACCACAACTGTTTGCATGCGGCCATCCAGCCAGTTCTTTATCCACTGAGTGCTCCATCCATCAAATTGATGTCTCTCCAATTTAGAGACAAGGACATCACGTGGGACAGTGTCAAACGCTCTGCACAAGTCTAGATAGATGACATCAACTGCTCTACCCCTGTCCATCAGTTCTGTAGCCCCATCATAAGAGGCTGTTGAGTTTTTAGTAGTGTGTGGTATTTGGGATAGGAGCGAACAAGTATGGTTATCTCAATATATGTGTGTGTTTACAGCTTGCATGACAAGTAGTGACGCCTCTTACCTTCTTTTTCCCTTACAACTGGGTGTGTATGTCATATTATTTGAACCTGGCACACAGTATAGTAGCACTCTCTTTTTTATAATCATTAAAAGAAAAAAAAAGCCAAAACCCAGCAACCTTCTCTAGGTTTCTCCCATGGTAGGAAACATACAAAGCTAAACCAAGGGAAAGACTTCTTTTACGTAACTCCTGCAGTCTGTTAATAATTTTGTATGTGAGTACAGCGTGTTAAACCCAATCCAGGTTGCTGCCTGAAGTCTCCGAGAACTACTTCTAAATAAAATACAAATCAACTGCCTAACTCTTCCAAGCATTGAACCCAGTGACAGTATTGATTAGCATGTCCCTTATAGACGTACAGCAGCACTTGCCTTCCCTCCCTCCTCAGGTACTCCTTGGGATATCACATCTCACATAAACAAAGCTGCCTAATAAACTCTTTCCTCTCATGACCTCATTATGAATCTACAAATCATATTCCAATAGTGAAAACTTCCAGAAAAACTCCCTCCCCTCTATTCTATGGGCGCTCTGTAGGTATGTGTATAATCCATCTCTGGAACAGTGTTTGTAATGGTATATTCAGCCTTCATTAGCAGGGATTTTCCCCAACCCACTTTTAGGATTTGCACTGGCTTCTAAATATACATTTCCTCTGGTATCATCTGGGAATGTGCACTAACAACTGTGGTTGTTTCTTCAAATTTCCTGGGTGGGAACACACTTGCTTTGCTTTCATTAGTCTCAATCCAGCCTGTTTGTTTGTCTTCTCCTTTTTGAACACATCTCTCTGCTTATTGCTGTCCTCTGCTCACACCCACGTGTATGTATTCATCCGTGTACAAACACACATGCACACACTGGCCACTGCCACCATCCCCAGGGGGTTTGAGTTACCTGCAGCTTAACATTGACATCAGACCATGATTTTCTTGTCATTACAAGAATAAGAGGTCAGTCCCATGCATTTACAATCCATTATAGTGTAAATCTATCTTATATCTCATGCATACAAACAGAACAATATCACTTGTCCTGGACTGAAAACAAGGAGAGATTGGCTTGATTACTGAGGATAAGAATACAGACAGGCACATACAAATTAATGTATATGCAGCCATCACAAAGCAGAATGCACAAAGAACAACAGTGAAAAGTGAAATGAAGTATTTCTGTTGTTGTGGGGTTTTTTTTTTAAACTTTGACTTTTGATTTATCTTGAAGTTAGGAGGTTTTGGTCATTATGATCTGAGTTTCCTTAGATTTATTTCATGTTATTCTTTGTGCCTTAATTCAATTTGAGGCTGCTCTGCAGTGTTTTGATCATTTTGTTGGGCAAATGTGTTACACTGATGAGCCATATGAGGAGGTTTAAACAGGTGTAACCACTAATTTGTGTATTCCAGAAATTGAGTACTTTTATTTTTATGTTAACACATTTTAGACTTTGTGAAGCAGAGTCAAAGTAATGCTGTACACTGCAAATGGAGATGCTATGTCTCATTAGAATAACATTGCCTTGCATTCATTGTGATTCTTTTCACTGGCATATCAGTGTATACTTATGCCCTGGTGTTGAGTGAGTCTCAGTTGTGTAAGGGTGATGAACAGTAGTAGTTTATTTTTTACAGAAGGGATCTCTGAAAGAAATATTCTCAGGGTGAGAATAAATAAGTGAGAGAAATGGATTCAGCATTCATGATTCTTTAGGATCACATTACCTTACAGTTGCCATACACCAAGATATCTGTCTGATAAGAAATACACCATTTCATTCATATGTCTTTCTAGTATCAAAGAAGAGATCTGCAATTCTGTTAAGGAAATAAATAAAAATCTTTAAATCCATATGTAATTTGCACTCTCAGATACTCTGACTTTAACCAAATCGATTAAATACTACTTTTCTTAAAGCCTCCCATAATACAGTGATTTAGGATCACTATCACTGTTAATGCTTAGTGTTCAGATAAATTGATTGTGGCACAGATAAATAGAAAACATTTGGAGGAAGTATCATTCTGTATTAAAATATATAATTGTCAGTGGTATAAACAAGCTTTTGCTCCTTAGGTGTGCACTTAGCACTCACTGAACTCCCAAAGCCTTCCCCAAGCATATGGCAGGTTTGGAAGCTGGGATGAATACTTTGGAGTAGAGACATCTTCAACAGTTATGAAGTTCTGGGGAGAAATGTAGAGGAAAGCTTCCCAGGATAGTTACAGAGCCATCATTAAAAGTAAATCTGACAGACTTCTATTAAAGATGAAGACTGTAGAGATCATCCAGTTCTGGGTGTCTGTATGGAAAGAAAAACGGATAAAAACATACAGCACTTTCTCTGAAAACAACAAATGTTGAAAGAATGACGTTATGTTCAACTTTCAAATGCTCTTTCTTAAAATGAATGATTTAAATGGAAAGAGTTCTTGAAAGATCACTTTGCTATGACTTGGAAGCCACAGACAGAGTAGTGAGCAGCAAGTAAAATGTAGTTAGAATGATACAAGCCAGAGACATCAATAAGAAACCATTTATCTCAGGCACAACATTAAGGAAGTGAAATGTATTAGAAATGAATGTAGTCAAGCTAGGCAAGAAGAATTAGAGGCTTTGAGATAATGGTATAGTGTTCTCGTAAAAAACATATTTAGCCAAGGAAAGAGAGCAATTAGAGCGAACAGGATGCTGGATCCAGTGTTTTTAAAGCACAGTAGCAAATAAGTGTCACAAAATTTCACATAAGATTATGTCATATATTACTCTGAATAGATTTGTGCTCACTGAATTGGATCCCTCTATTCCCCCAGAAGTCACCACAATAGTGTATAGAAGAAAGCTGACAGGTGTAGATGACTACTAGAAAATTATCATTGACAGAAGTTATTTATGAGATGGAGACATGTCTGGCAGCAAGTACCAGCCCTTCAAAACCTCCTTTTCTGAAGAAAAATGAAATAGTGCCTTTATCATCCTTTTTTCTGTAGCTGCAAAGTGACTGTTGAGCAACATGTAGGATTGCCATTACAGTCACTTCCTGACAGATGCTTGCTATTAATAAATTTTCCTAGCTACCATTTTAGATTCTTTTTTCCTGGCTTGTTAGTAATTATTAAAATCAATGTATAGATTCATACCTTTGTATCAGTTCAGACATTACGCTAGCATTTGTGCTTGATGAACTTGTAGCCTGTGGTTTTTTGTTTGTTGTAGATATTTTTTTATATATATATCTAGGAAACAGGCAGTACTCTATCTGGTATAGTAAAAAGTTTTCTTTTAAAGATGGAATAGAGAAGTGAAAAAAAAAATAAAATCAGAGCAGCCATACTCAAGTATGGAACCAGAGAGTGGTTCTAGATGCAAAAATACTGCCTTGAACTACAGTTGTGAAAAGCAGAGGAAGCTAGTGTTTGACCTGTTCACCCTAATGCTATACTTAACCTAGCGTATTTATGGTGGCCTTGTTAAGGTAAATTCTTTCTTCTTCTGATTATTTTTGTGGGTGACTGACCCCTTGGTCACCACTGGTCTCACTAAGAGGTCAGGAAAGCTGGCAGCACTATAAAGCTACTGAGATTCTCTAAGGGTGAACAAAATCTGTTCTGTTCTCTGTCATAGCACTGACCACTCTCGGGTGGAGCTGCAGTGACTAGTGTTTTGAACTACCTTCAAAAGTACTTGCCAGCATGCAGTGCACTGATGCACCAAGACTGTGAAAGAAAACCACTTTAAGCATTAAAGCAATGACACTGAAAAATACACCAAATCTCTTTCTTTGAAAACATTGATTGTGAAAATACATTTTTATGTTGGAGAAGGTGTAAAAGAGATTTTCACTTTTCTTTGTAAATATATAAATACAGTATTTTGGTATCATGTTTTAGAGGAGTAGTTGTTTGTGTCATACCTCAGTCAATGCAATTGGAGTTTCTGGAGTTTGGGGTTTTGTTTTGTGTTGTGTATTTTTATTTACAATTTTAAACATGTGAGTTTTAAGGATTTGCCACAGCACTGGGAGCTGTATTAGTAGCTCTGTCTCATCCTCCTGAGAATAGTAAACATACATACACTACCATTTCTGCATGCCCTAGAGATGACTGTAACCTTTTATTGATCAGCTGATTGAAGATGAATGACAGAGATGCCGGTACTGCAGTTTACATCATTAACATGGCCAGTAAAGCATGAATTGTTCAATAAGGTGTTTATCTTTTTTCATTTTACTCCATTCTTTTATCATTTTTATGATAGCAAATTTTCAGACTCTAAACATGCAGGTGAACTTTAAAGATCAGATATGTGCATGTGTGGTAGTTGTCAGAAGTGAGTAAAATCTAAAAGTTTAAAGATATTTAGTGTTTTTCACATGAAGACAATAAAATTCAATGATCATTTTTCTTACTATGTTTCTTTTTCAGTTTCCTTTTGCCTCCTACTTAATGGATGCCATACTGCAAAAATTAAATGAGAAGAAGAAACTCTTAGAAGAGTACAGTTCTCTCATGAAACATACTGTATAATATTGCTAAGACTTATCTTTGCAAAGTGTGACTAAAATGTGTGCTATTTCCTTGTCTTTCCTCTTCAATATGCATGTTCAATAGATAAGTAGAAACTGTGAACTAATTAATTGTTGAACCAGAAGAATTAATTACATTCCTATTTAGAAAGGAGTATGGTGTTTGACTCCTGAAAAGAAAAATTGCTGCAAGTCAACACAAAGTAAAAAAAAAAAAAAAATTTCCTTTAAATACATTAGCAGTGAACAGCAGTGGAGACTTTGTAGAGAAAGGATGTTTTTGATACAACTAATACACATCTGTACAACTCATTAAGTACAAAAAGCAGCTAACTCCTGGTTGTACTAGTCAGAACAGTATAAGTAGGATCTGCAGAGGAAGTGGGAATACCACTGGGATTTTGAATACCTAATTTCTTTTAGCTTCTTTGTAAATCTAGCTTTATGATATATGCTACATAAAATATGTTTTCTATACATTGGAAAAAAATGAGAAAATTAATTATTGCAGGAAAAAAGCATTCAATGCAGAGTAAATCTCCTGGGAAAACTGTATTTTCTTCTAATTTGGAGTGTGTTGTGTAGAATGTATGTAATTGCATTTTAAAAATTCAATACAATAAATATACTTCTACTGTGAGGTTTTTTTCACTGGTAGTGCCAGTACTTTCTCAGGTACCACCAAGCTGCGAGCTCTCTTTTTCCATGGGAAAACGTACAGAGTTTTGGTCAGACGATTCCACCAAGATTTCTCTGGCAATATCAACAAATAATTGCTGCTTTTTCACATAGAATCATAGAATAGTTAGGGTTGGAAAGGACCTTAAGATCATCCAGTTCCAACCCCCCTGCCATGGGCAGGGACATCTCACACTAAACAATCCCACCCAAGGCTTCGTCCAACCTGGCCTTCAACGCCACCAGGGATGGAGCATTCACAACCTCCCTGGGCAACCCATTCCAGTGCCTCACCACCCTCACAGGAAAGAATTTCCTTCTCATATCCAATCTAAACTTCCCCTGTTTAAGTTTTAACCCATTACCCCTTGTCCTGTCACTACAGTCCCTAATGAAGAGTCCCTCCCCAGCATCCCTATAGGCCCCCTTCAGATACTGGAAGGCTGCTTATGAGGTCTCCACACAGCCTTCTCTTCTCCAGGCTGAACAGCCCCAACTTTCTCAGCCTATCTTCATATGGGAGGTGCTCCAGAGATCTTTGATCTTAAGAGTTTGTATTCCTCTGGACCAATCCACCTGAAAAAAAATGGAAGGCCCAGATTTCTGAATTCATGTGGTAGTAACACTTATATACAATCTTTATCTATGGCTATTAAGTTGCTTTGCAGCAGGTGTCATTATCGTTATTCATGTTGGTTGGAGAATCAGAAGAAAGATCTTTTTGGTCTAAGGTCACTCGCACTCACAGTGTGAGATAATTTCCCAGGCTAGTACCTTTTTCTCTTAACTTAAACACCATGCTGTACTGTCTTTGCAAGTTTCTGTATCTCCTGGGTACCTGGGTGTGGAGAGAACTCTGTTTTGGACCAAGAGTAAGCAAGAGTGGTGAATGCTGTAGAACCAAGTTGTTATCTACTTCATCTGAAGAGAGAGAGCAAAAGAAAATCCTTTAACCCAGGTGGAGCCAGAATTATCACCATTTTTTCAAGGAACGGAAAATACAACAAGTGTTATTTATTTGCAGCTGTTTGTGCATCATGGTGCAAGAGACAAAAAAATGCTCTACAAAGGAAATTAACTCTCCATAAAGCTCTGTGCCCTAGGCCTTAAGCGTAGGATTCATCTTCTCCTTTCGAAAATTATTAGGGTAAGTCTGGTAAGTTTACATGGTGAAAACATTATATTTGGACTCTACCAAAACAAGTTCTGCAGGATATAACTCAGTACAGATATACCACTTTCCCTTCCTGTAAGTCTTCTGCAATTGTCTTGCCACTTCTTTGATGAGACTTAACTCACTTGCTAATGAGTGAGCTTGCAGAGCTGCCATCAGCACTCATGCTTCATGGAAGAGGCAGATGATAACGCATTCTTGGAAAGTGAGCAACTCACTGATGGCAGCACCATAGTGCCTTGGTCAAGTGAGCAACAAGCCAGCTATGCGGGCACTATACATACCCTTCCAATGAAGATAAAATTTCCTCACTCTGTCCAGCAAAAAGCCTCTAGAAAAAATCTCTTAAAGGGCTTTTGACCTGTCTATCTTGTCACAAACAAGCAACTATCTGGCAACAAACAGCTTTGTGTAGGGAAATTTCCATCAAAGTTATTTATTGGCAATTAACAACCTTTTAGTTACTGATTGTGGTATTGAAAGAGCAGTAAACAAGTGCTTAGGGCAGTCCCAGACCTGGTCCCACACAGGGCTCTCCTCCAGCACCAACGCCTGCCAGCTGTGCCTGGATGTTCTGTCCCTTCCACCTGCATCTTAAGCTGGAAGTGTTACCACTACACAAACTTTTAAGAAAAGTCTTACATTCATACTGAGGAAGCACATGGTTAAGTGCTTGATATATAAATTGGAAACAAAATGACAAAATGCTTTGCAGTTTCTGCATTATTTTAGCCACCTGAAACCTGCATGGCATCCCATTCCCAACCACTGCTTCAGGGTTATGAGTGGGGCGGCAGTCTTTGGCCTGCTCTAGCAAGCAGTCCTCGGACAGCTACTCTGGAGACCTGGCTGCTTCATTTGGTCATAGGTCTTCATGCTTGCTAATCCAGTAGCAGAGTGAAATCAGTTCTCAAAATAAATGATGACTGCTATAGTGTCTCTTCTTCAGCTTCTGCATGTAGAATTCCAAAATACGGTCTGTTTCTACCATTCCTGCCATTCTGCTCTGAGAAGGTGATGCACACAAGCCTTGTGAGCTATCAGAAGTGCAAAATTAATGGTTGCCAGTTCTGTTTCCTCAGTACCTCAAGCAGCCTGTTTCTGGCTGATGCTTTAACGCAGACGTGTGGTGAGAGGGAGAAGAAATCTCTGAGTATATTTTATTTGCTACTCTAACTTGTTCTTTCTGATGCAGAGAGAATTAAATTTGTTTAGTAAGAAATAATTTTTAAAACCCTAATCCCAGCATCAGTAGGTGGTTCCTCTCTGGAATATAAAACCAAAACATACTGAAAACAGACTGAGAGATTTCTCCCCTTGGATTCTGGTGTATTTGGTGCTTCTTCCACAGTATTTAACACTTTCTTGGGTCAGTGGTGAGTCCTTTATCTTACAAATCAGCTTCCAGCTTCCAAGAGCACCAAGCTGGGGGAGCAAGGCTCAGATTATAATTGAGATTTAACTCAACCTAGAGCCTGGGAGCTCTCAGTCACCCTCAACATGATTCAGGTGCTCCTTCCTGTGGGAAAGACAGGGCATGGGCATTGGTGAGCTGGCTCAAGCTCTGGCCTTTAACCTCCAACACCTGCCTACGGACAGTGCTGCAGCACCCACTGCAGCAACATGTAGGTTGCAATAGCAAACCAGTATAGGTAGCCATCATGACCTAATCTTAAAGAGCATGAGACGCCAGTCATCTTCTACTTAGGAAATTCAGTAGTAAGTAACCTTATTGTTCTTTTTACGTTGTACCAACCAGGTTATTCTGAATTGCCAAAGAAAATGTTTCCAGAGAAAAAAATATATGCATTGTCAGGTACCAGTTTATTCTTATCAAAGCCTTTGGAGTGACCAGGCCAGGATGGGAGGAAAGGGATTAAAATTTGATATAAAATCAATATCTGTACTTGAATGCCACATTACTTCTAAAATTATCAGGCCTACCCTGGCAAAGATTTTCTTCCCTCTTACATTTTAAATGGTGGAAAGTAAAATTTCACTCATTTCAGAAAGACAAATATTTTCATAGAGATTTTCTGAGGGTGAATATGGAACCTAAGTATTCTGATAACAAAAGTTGGGGGGGGGTGGAAGCGGGAACCCAAAACCATAAATTGGATTTTATGCTGAAGAGAAAGAAATAAAAGAACTGTAACTACTTCACAGGTGCTCCTGAAATTATAGCACTGCTAGTCTTTCTGCAGCTTTGCTGGAAAGGTTGCCAAATATCTGTGAGGATGTTTCTTAATCTTTTAAAGGTATTTATTTCCGTGCAACTTTTCTCATTTGATATGAACAAATGAGAACACAAGTAGCAGCCAGCATTTTCCAGTGGGGTGGCAGGGGGAAAATCGAGTTTGAGATATTTTTGTAAGAATAGAAAAGGCTGACATTCCAAAGAAAACAAATTTTTACCTTTCTCTCTCATAAATATTGAATCCTGTCTCCACAATGAACAAACTTTTTACTGCTTATTTAATCTTTACTCCACCAGCAAAAGAGGAGACGGCTTTCGAAACAATCTTTATATTGTAAAAGAATTAAAAGTACTTATCCTCATTATGTTTTATGAATATTTTAAAAATCCCTTTTGACTGTAACCAGGCTCAGATTACACACTCACATAAAAAATTTGGCAAAGTAATTCTGTCTGGGGAGAAACATCAGCTCCACACTTTCAGTATGATATTGTCAACAAAGCTAAACAGAAAATACATTAAAGGCAGTGCTGTTTTGAACTAACTATATGTACCAACATCTAGAAAATCCATTTAATGTGTTTACTTTAAGGCAGTATGTCCTAGTGCTTCCTGATATGTCCTCTAGATGGCAAACGTTTACAAAAAATGGGTTAATTGCTGGCAGCAATAGCTGGTATCTCCACATGTGAATTATGTTGCCTATTTACAGCCATCATGTATTGTGTCACAAAAGTGAGTCCCTAAAATATAACAACTCTGTGTGTGTGTGTGTGTGTGTACACACATATGTGTGTATGTACACACACAGATGCATATGTATGTATGCACATATAAATATGAAAGCTTCAGAGTTGTGCAGGCCTTCAAAGTTTAAATGTCCTAACCGTTTCAAAAAATCTTTATTACATATTCTAAAATGTCAAAATTAAAGTCACAGCATCTGTCAGTTGTAACTTCTCACACAATGTTTCTGTAGTGCCATCTGTTTAACCTGCACAAGTCCTAATTT